TTTTGTGTCTTTGTGGGCTGATCAGCCACTTTTTAAGTTTCCCTTTTGTCTCATTTAGGTAGGTTAGTGTTTGTTGCCAGCTTTTGAGTAGAGTTCTGTTACTTTGACCTCTTTTATGGGCCCAATATTTATTGTATTTTTATTTATTTTATTTTATTTTTTGTATAATTTAACCAAGTTTGTTTTTATGGACTTTAACCCTTGCCTGACTTTCCTTGTCTTCTTGGTCCATCACATCATAAAACAGAGAGAGAGAGTCGACTTATTCTCCAAATGCTAATGAGGAATACTCTTTCTCATTGGCTGGTGGTAAACACAAAAGGCATAATTGCTTAAAATGCTGAAACCGCTACCAATCACTGCAACAGTACCGGTAGGTGGTGTTGCAGCATCACACTCAGAGCAGACCCCCACAACACAACCACTTCACTTGGGTAAGATGTTTTGCGCACCGGGAATCATGATCCACACACTGGATATGCACCATAACTACAGGAGCAGAACAGAAGTCTGGTGTTAAGGTGGATTTTTTTCATCGGTCTTGACTGATATTTCTTCTTTAACCATTTGGACTCTTAGATTTTTTATTCCATTGACAATGCATCGTTCTTTCGTGGTGTTTGTGAGTTTTATTAAACTGTCTCCCTTCCGTCAGACAGTGATTGTTTTCACGCTAGTTGTTATTTGCCCGTTTGTGTTTGGCTGAGTTTGAGCGCCACTGTCATTTGCAGGACAGATGTTTTTTTGCTGCTGCCGCATCATTATGACCCTGAGTCTGACTCACCATCACATGCTGCCAGATGCAACTCGTCAACCGATCCAATATTTTGCTTTTTATTTTGTGCAAACGCGGGGACTTGCTGCCGCTGATGGGGACTCTTTGGGGCTTCTTAGCGCATGAAGGACCTCAGGCTTCTGGTGGGTTTCACAAATATTTTTTTTAAAGATGGAGAAGATAAGATGCGCTTAAATGTTAGATTTTTAAATACTAGATCTGTTTTTATTTTCTGTCATATCCGTTTTTATTGGAGTATACATCCCCAAAAATTTCGGCTGGCGATTTATAGCTTGCGAATATCCGGATGTAATGCATTTTGTAACCATCACTCCTACTCTTCAGGTACTTTTGGAACACTTTAGAGTGCGTTATGAAGATGGGGTGGATAATTCGGATCGATCTGAGATGGCCTCATATTTCTGTTATAGTCTGTTCAACACCGTCTATGTCGTGTTTGATCTTCAAAGTAAAGAAGTGTTAGGCTACACAGGATTGCTTGCACCACTAAGGATATTACTTGTGTTCACGCCTGATCTCCTCCGTTACACGTTTTTCTTAACTCCGGAAATCAAACAATGAATAACGCAGGTGAGTGCGGCATCGAGGGGCATGAGGAGTCCCAGATCCAGGGTGACATCAGCAGTCAGGGTCAGGTGCGGCCGGGAGAATAACCCAGAGGCAACAATGCCCTCCTGGCCCAGCCAACTGGAGTGCCTCCACCATAACTGCACCTGGGAGGAGACCAACAATACCATAAGCAAAGCTGACCCTTCCCCGCCCCCTCTCAATTATTATTCAATTCCTCTTCTAACGGCCATCACCATCGCCTGCACACTGCTGTTTCTGATAGGGGTGGCCGGGAATGTTATGACCATTTTGGTGGTCAGCAAGTACCGGGACATGCGCACGACCACCAATCTGTACCTGTGCAGCATGGCGGTATCCGATCTACTCATTTTCCTTTGCATGCCACTTGACCTCTACCGCATGTGGAGATACAGGCCCTGGCGCTTTGGAGACGCGCTCTGCAAACTCTTTCAGTTTGTGTCAGAATCAAGCACTTACTCCACCATCCTCAGCATCACCGCCCTGTCAGTAGAGCGCTACCTGGCGATCTGTTTCCCATTGCGCGCCAAGGCTCTGGTAACCAAAAGGCGCGTAAGAGCCTTGATTTGTCTGTTATGGACAGTGTCCCTTTTGAGCGCAGGCCCTGTGTTTGTCATGGTGGGAGTAGAGCAGGACACCATGGGGCCACTAAACTTCAGTTCGTGGATGAATGAGTCTAACTTATTCCTGGAGGCTGAGGACACCCGAGAGTGTAAGATGACGCACTATGCTGTGCAATCCGGTCTGATGGGGGCCATGGTGTGGCTGAGCTCCGTTTTCTTCTTCATGCCCGTGTTCTGTCTGACAGTGCTCTACGGCCTGATAGGCCGTCGGCTGTGGCAAAGGCACCGGGAGACGAACATGAGCAACCGCGTGTCTCACAGGGATAAGAGCAACAGGCAGACCATAAAGATGCTGGGTAAGTTTCCAGAACGCGCAAATTATGCAAAAATTCTAAAGTTCTTACATGATTCGAGTTTGAGTTGTCGACACATGAAAGACACCTTAGGGCTTTAAACTGTGTTCATATTAAAGTGATATCAGTTCAAATGTCCAAATAAAGATATGTTTAGGTAGAAAATGTTAATCAGCATCTCCTTTGACTAACCCCTGCTCCTTTTTATGTTTTTTCTTCCAAAAGTGGTTGTTGTGCTGGCCTTTGTCCTGTGTTGGTTGCCTTTCCATGTGGGTCGCTACTTGCAGTTCCGCTCTCTGGATGCTCCTTCCCCGTTGCTGTCGTTGTTATCCGAGTACTGTAGCTTGGTGTCAGTGGTTCTCTTTTACTTGAGTGCTGCCATCAATCCCATCCTCTATAACACCATGTCGTGGAAATACCGGGGTGCAGCGGCGCGCCTCTTCGGCCTGACCGACAGCCTGCCGCCACGGGGTCGCACAGCGAGCACTGTGAAGGGAGATGGCTCAAACGGCTGGACAGAGTCTACAATCAGCTTTTGAATGCATGGCCTAAATGACTGGCGTAATGAATAAAGCTATTAGTCGTGGATCTACATTACTCACGTAAAGGCCATAATTTCTGTCAGGGCGATGCAAAATTGTGGTGAGCACTTGCCTTTATTTGACTGGAATCAAAAAGGATGATTAAAAAAGCACGAGCCATAAACGCTCCATATGCATAAAACGCTTTCTTTTAAATACAATTTGCTCAGTTACTTGTCTTGTTCGGTTATTTCAGCAAGTGCCACACACTATTCATAGAAAACAATTGAAAAGCAAAACTGGTGAAGTGCAAAAGTCACTGGCCTGAAATGCTTACAGGATATCAATCAAAAACAGACACGCACGCCTGTGTGCTCACGTATAAATGTCACGCACATCTACAAATGCCTTATACTGCATTTATATTCTGGATGACAAAGAAAGCACTGTAGAATTTGCGGCACAGCTCTGTACTCATTAAGACAGAGGCAGAGGTGCAGTGTGTATGTGCATGTGTGTGGAAGAGATTTTTGCATGTGCTATGCAGGCCAAGTGTCATGCTTTTGGGTATGCTTTTAGTCACGTTACATGAAGATGTCGTGGGTTACTGTTATAAGTTGTCAAAATTCCCAGTGGGCACTTTTATATTCAAATCAATGCTGTGTTTGGGATCAATGGGGTGAGTCAACAGTCCCTGTGAGTATTCTTGTGAATCTTTGTGGTGCACAGCCTTTGCTTTTTTTTTGTGATTGTGAGACAATTTATATTTCCAAAATATGTATCAGTCTCTGATCTTGTTGAATGTATTTCACTGTTAAATGATCAGCACTGTTTAATCTGTAGGACCATCAGAAATGTGTATTAGGGGGTGTGGGGGGGTCCTATAAGGTAGCATCGCAAAAGGTTTTTACAGGTCTTATGACTCTGCAAGTTTAGGTCTGGTGCATACACAAAGAAAGCTGCCTGTTAATGTATAAATAAACATGTTAGCAGTCACTTTCTGGGCCATGTGAACTGTGCACCATTTTCCAGCAGTGTTATCCACATGTTTTCAGTCACCAGCTATAGTTACATATGTTGCACTGATTAAGCATACAATGCTATCTTTTGCTGTGGCTGTAAACACAAAACGTTATTATAAATTTGTCTAATTTACCAATAGCAATCATGCTTTTTGCAGCCATATTTATGGCAACAAAAACATTCATTTTCACTAGTCCTGCTTCTATACAAGTAGCTTCCACTGTAAGCTAGCCCAAGGCTTCACACTTATCTTTAGGAGACATGGTTTTCCACTGACAAACGAGAGAAGTGAGTTCTCACACGATGTAAACTGTATAATATGCGTCTTCTTTTTCTCATTTAACAATTTACTAAAGCCTGGAAGATGAAAAGTCTTCATGAGTGATTAAACAGCAGATCATGGCATGTAAAGTGATTTTAAATGTTCTCCAGTCTGATGAAGTGCTACAACAATGTATAAGAAAGTTTTAAAATAGATTTTCCTTTGAGCTTGTGTAAGATAACACAACAGGTGGAAATGTAAAAGTGGTACATTTTGTAAAGTGATTTGTAAAGAGCCTTGTCGAAAAGATCTTTGCTATAATTTGTATATAGATGCTTTGTAATGCAGTACACTCAGGTGGTTTACGCAGTCCAAATCACCACAGCAGCTTCCTTGATTTAAAACATGGCCTCATGACTTTGAAGAATGTATCTGTTAAATGAATGTTTATGACCATATACTGATAACATGACATGCTTTTATCAATCCATACTTATTAACAGTCAAAATTTATTGCTTTTTTTTTTTTTTTAATCTATGTGACTATCTTCACTTAGTTAATGTGTATGTCTATGATAATGTCTTGTAAAAGAAACAAAAAGTTTCCTCCTCTTTTGTACACAGTATTCATATTCTTTGTGTAACCGACTCGACAGTCAGAAAGTTGTCCTCAGCAGATATGAGATGCAAACTGCAATCAGGGTTATTAAACCAACAAACACCAGTAAACACCTTCTCAGTCACATTAAAGAATAACAAAAGATAACAATAGGGTATGCAGTCGTTTCTCCATGTGGCCCAGCAGTACCCCACTATATAATGTTGGCCTCAAAGGGGTTTAACAGTGGCCACAGGGACACTGCAATGTGCCTCTCCCATCTCAGCTGACAGGATTTTCTTGGTGCCACCAGACTCCATTCTATCACATTAGATAGCTTATAAGACAGCAGGTGCTGCCAATATGAAGCAGACCTCAAAAGAGCACTCATTCATCACTAAATTCCCCTCAGGTACTTGATCAAAACACTTACAGGGGAGCCAGCAAAAGCCTTTCAGTGCAAAAATGTTCAGCAGATTGAAAATTAGAATGACTATGAAAGGTAATGAAGGATTCACAGGGAATTAAAGCTCAAAGTTGAGTTGGTAACTCACAGGAGAAGTGGGTGGATGAAAGGTGGAGAGAAGAAGAGATCTGAAACACAAAAGTCCACATGAAATACCTCAGTGGAAATGGACAATAAAACACAAGGTGAAAGAGAAGAGGCTCAAACAGTGAGTCAGAAATCATAAGAGCTTGTTTAAATGAAGGTTGTGAGTGTGGATAAATGAACATTACACAATTAGGATGAGAGTGGAATTAAATAAGTATTTTTAAAAATGCAGCACCTTTTTTATTATTTTGATACCAGTTCAGACAAGCTAATGTTTGCTGGTATACCAACACACTGACTGTTTACAAGTACACTCACAGGGGTGGACCAAAAATGAAGTCATCTGCAAATGGGATAGTGCAGATGGTTCAGACCAGGACAAACGCAGCTATATTTTTTCATCAGTCTCCTGATGATGACGACAAAAAGAATCCTCCAAGAAGCTTTCGTTCAAATAAGATTAGGCATCTGTGTCCACACTAGTGGCACCTAAAGTTATTGTCAATCTCCTTCATCCTGGTTGGGACAAGCACCCTGTGTCTGTGCTAAATTTTACATTTAATTCGATAGTAAAGTGAAAACATTAAAGGCATCATTATAAACATCAGTCTGTACAAAAGAAACCCAGCCTGCAGTTTTTTGTTAATACAAAAACAATTGCTTAAAAATTTAAGTCTAAATAGTTCAGTATAGACTTTTGAACATGAAATGAATATGAAATGTTGATTTTCCCCATGAGGAATACGTACATAACCCTATCAGTGTATTACCAGTCTGGACTGTTAATTATTAAGCTATCAATTTTGACCCAAACATTTGAAAGCCACAAAGTGACACTTTTTGTTTTGTTTCTCGGGAATCTTTGGAAAAAGGTTCCTGCATCAAAAATGTGAAAACTGGAACACCCGACAGTGAAATCCTACCACTTCCAGTCACTAGACTTATACCATATTAACCTATAGAACGGTATTGTTCAACAAAAGCTACTGCAGTGCACTTAAAAAAAGGATTTGTAGTTTGACTAGGAAAATAAATGTTTGATTTTCTTTCATAAATGTAATCTATGGTCAGTTTCTACCTCTTAAGACAAAAAGACTAATGTTCCTCTGATGCCCTTGGATTGCCTGTGATTGAGGAATATTGACCTTGCAGTGCTGCAGTTTCTGTCCGGCTGCTTTCAGGGCCAGCAGGGCATAAAGTCTGTGATTTAGTCTTGTCACAGCTTTCTGGTTAAACAGTATTAAGGCCACCAGAGAGTAAATCTCAACATGACAAACCTTCACAGACACACATTTACACTCACCTCAAATCCTTGAACCCTAAGTGACAAATTAAAGGCAAAAACTATTATATTAATGATTTGCGGTGAAATTTCAAATGAATTACAGTGCTCGTAAGATGAGCTCTCCAGCTGAGTAATTCTAATTTAAACCCTAATATTATAAATATTGATTATCAGTCCTCTATGTTTACAACAGTACACAAAGATGATGCAGATGAAATGACAATAATGACCCTCTTATTAAATCTGAAAGATACAAATCAATACTGCCACAGACAATGTCAGAAGTGTGTTTATACTTGTTTCTCCACCATATATTGATGTATTCAGCTGGTTTGGGAAGTCCTATCCAAAAAAAGAACAAACCAACAAACTGCAGAGCATCATTGTGTTGAAGCGTAATGTTGACATTCAATAAACAGTGCAATTAAAGACAGAAAAAAATTAAAACATTTATTGGGCATAAATATATTATATATACGCTACCGATACAGTTACGTCTTACATACATAGGGTAGTATTTGCAAAAATCTATACATTAAAATTGATATGGCAGTTTCTTTTATATAATGCATATGAAATTGTCTAACATTTACAATACAAGAAGAAATGCATGAATTTCTTTTTTTCCTCAATTCGTAGACCATGACAACGTTGGAATGTTTATTTTTTGATTGTGAGGTAAAAATATGTTTCTGTTTTTGTCTTACTTAAAAAATAGTTAAATACCTGTGAGTCTCTGTATGTTTGTCAAATCGCCAATCTCTCAGTCAAAATCTCTACATGTACAAAACATTCAAAAAAAAAAATGATCAGAAGGCACAGACGTGGGGTTGCTGGGCAAAACATTGTCTCTCACTCTTGACATACCCGCCAAATGTACAGGACCTGCAGGGTGGTGAGTAGGGAGTCTGGGGTTCTATAAAATCACCTGTATTTGAGGGGAAAAAACGCAAAAAAAACCCCAACAATGCACATCAAGGGAGTACCCTGCCCACAAACACAGTGCCTTTTTGTTAACACTGTGCTAACCTTGGACTATTTAACACTAGCATAACTGGCCTGACAATGACCATACACCAAGCAAACCTCTGCTCTTCCACTGGGGAATTAAGGCTTAAAAGGGGGTAGTGTTGGGCAACATAACATCAGGAGTTTAAGGAAAGGACACCTCACAAGTCACCTGTCAATTACAATGCAACAGGCAGACACAAGATGAACACATCAGACAAAGGCACCATACTCCCTATAAACTTTCCTTTCTTTGTGGCTGTACTGTGCATTCTGCAGAGAGCGCCCCAGTAATGCCAATGTCACAGTGATGCCAATAACAGAATAATGCCAATAAAAGTAACAGACAGTGTTGGCAGTAGAGTTTGGAATAGAGCAAAGGATCGCGTTTCCTATCGCTCATATTTACCTCATCAAGCCTAATGCTTGGCATAAAAAAGTGCTTCAACTCTGTTAGTCATAATGAATTTACCCTCTTCTTCTATAGCTCTATAGATATCTCTGTATATCATCTCTTAGCAATGTACGGACACAAAAAAGCTCACTACTGTTATACCAGCACAAGCCTGAAAAAGGATTTATCAATATTATTATTTTCATCATCTGCCGGAAACCATTGTATGATTGTTTTTGCTTTCTTTACCTTTCAGTGTGAAATCAGGTTGTGTAAAAATTAAAAAACGGGAAAAAAAACTCCACCGAAAGGGGCTACACATTTCATAATGGCACATTTTGCTTTACAAAACAAAACAATAAAAGATAATATGAAAAGAAGAAATATCACAGATCAAGTTAATGTTTTTTTTTTCCTTTAGAAAGAATAATGATAATAGTCGTAATGCTGTGTCGCTGCAGAAGAACATCTCAGAACCCTTTAGACGATTCAAAACGCAACAACTAGTGGACATAAAAAGTTTGCACTTTGGCATTAAAACAGTAAAAATAGATATCAGAAGCTTCATTATAACACTAATCAGAACAAAAGCCAAAGGCAGCAACGTTTATCCCAAAACAGATGACTTGAATTGACCATAAGACCTGGCTTGCTACATGTTTCTCTAAGCGTTTCAAGAACTGCTTGCCTGTGCACAGCCAAAACAGGAAATGTAAAAAATAAAATAAAATAAAATAAAAATACATAGGCAATTTGGTTAAATGTTTGAAACGGCAATGATAACTGCAATTCATGGACTGATGAGCTACAGGTTCCCAACAGCTGTAAGAAAAATACTTAAAGGGTTACTGAGATAAGGAATGCTGGCCTTAATCATACAATCTAACATACATCCATTAAAACAAAAGAAAAAAAAAACATGCTACAAGAAAAAATTAGTATATAACTACACTTGTCTCTTAATCTTTTAACAATAAATAAATGAAGATTGCACTGTAATTGGCATGTAAAGTACTGTATGCAAATATATAGTATAAATAAAACCTAGAAAAGAACTCTACCTTTACTTTCCCACCAACTTTGGCAAAGGTTTTTTAAGCTAGTAAACCACTTTACTTACTGACACATACAGGAGCAAGGCACAGCACAGACAGAGCACAAGATACAGCATCAAAAATGAGAGAACAAAGGGAAGGAAGAGAGAAAAAAAGAAGAAAAGAAGCTAAAATGATAAATTATCATGATGACAGCAATAGGGATGACAAGATTAGATCTCCCCTCTGTGAGGCCTTATCCCTGAGGTACATTACAGGCTGCCAATCAGAGCTAATCATTACCTCCGTCTCCCATCCAATCCCTTTTACTCCCTGCACCCCATCCGACAAACATGTCACACATTAATTACGCAGGTCAGGGTGACTTCTTTGGATTATCGGGGCATGTATTGGGTTGTACCTTGGCTTTGTTGCTTCGGGTTGGGGTTAAAAAGGGTTTTGGGGACTTGGGTGGGAGGTGAGGGGCTGTTATGTGTGTTAGAATGCCCTGTTCTGATGAGTTGTGTCCTGTCAAAGGCTTGTTTGGTTAGTGAACATTAGTTCAAGTCCTCAGAGAACATGTCCGTCTGAGGAGAGACCACAGACTTGCTACTGCTCTGATTACATATCAATAAAGCACCTTTTAATAGAGAGAGCGAGAGAGAAGAGAGGGAAAGTGAGAGTAGTGCATGGGCAGACAGATGGGATGGATCGAAAGCAAGAGAAAAGTGGCCAGAGCAAAAAGGGTAATTACAGATAATCACGGGTGGGAAATGAGAAAAGAGGAGAATAGACTTTAAATGCATCAATTGACAGGCTAGCCGGAAGGAGAAACAGCTTTAGCATTGCTCTGGCTGGCTAATTCTTAGTGGGGACTAAAGCACAAGCTAACTCCTAATGGCTTTCCTAGTTAACACCCATACAGCTCTGAGAAGGCCGGTTAGCTGGCAGACTGTTAGCACCTCTGGGTCAGTGGAGCTACGTACATATCGCTAGTAAAGCTACAGATAAATAGGCTGGAGCAATGGTATTTGAGATGGTAGATTAAAGAAGAACTGACCAATGGCCCAAAATATGCTCAGCCCAGCCCTTTCCTTGTCTGCTGCAGCCGATCACAACCACAGCCCGGCTCCCCAAAGCCAGTTTAAGCCTCACAAACCAATACCTTCAAGGGCTCATATTCTGAACCAAGACAAGTGTTTAAGGGCTCCTTCAACTAAATGTGCAAGCTGCTGAGCTGACCTCAGAGCTGCCGTCTATGAGCACCTAGAGTCCACTATTCCCCCTTTTACACTGTACTTCAGACCTTACATTGCCATCACTTATATTACATCAATTTATAGCATCATAGTATTTGCTATAATATACATATCTATATATAGAGTTCATATATTAGATTACTGGTTTTCCATTCTTTTGTAGATATAATAAAATCAAAGGATAGCAGCATCTTAAACCATACATGGATTGCATCACTTTGGTAGCTGAAAGAGTGAATGAGTGAATGTAAAAAGCTAAGCAGATATGTGATTTACTTCTTAGGATGAAATGTCTTTCTCATTGTCATTGCATGAGTGTAATTGGATATGTGTGCAAGGTTATGCATGTAAGTCTGCACCTTTGTCTGTGCACTGGGTATTTGTCAGTCTGCATGTGAGAACGGGTGCAGATTGCGTGAAATGTCTGACAGCCTGTAGAGTTGTAACAAACTGGGTAAGTAAGAACAACTAAAGCTTTGAAGGCCTACACTGGAATATGGCTGAATGAATAAAGACTACAGCAAAAAAAATGCAAATTAAACACTGAAAAATAAACCAAAAAAGTAAGGCAATGACCATCAAGAAATATATGTTCTCTAAGTGAATATGTTTTAAAAAGATACAAAATAAAAACATGCAAGTCAGTCTGGAGAGCAACTGTTTTGCTCACAGCTATTTTAAGGCTTGATTATCAGCTTTCTTTCCCAAACGAGGTACAGCTCAGACAAGGCTTCCCTCGACAGAAATCCTTAACAAATGAGACGGACAATGGTATGAAGACAACAGAGACGGAGAGGGAAAAAGTCCAAAGTGAGTGAAGGCAAAAGACAACAGGAACAAGGTGGGAAAAGCCTGAATCAAAAAATAACCCAAAAAAAATCATAGATAGCGTTGAATGTACATCTCAAGTGTTTGTTTTGATTTCATTCGGTTCTTTCATAGATGTTTTTTAAAGTTTTTTTTTCTGCGATTTTGCTTTCTCTTTCTATCCTATAATTAAAAATTCCCTCACTTCATGAAGAAGTACTGTAGCAAGCAGGCCATGAGGATGGAGAAGCCTGCAAACACACACACAATCAGCGCCGCAAAGCGCTCGTCGCTCGAGATCAGGCCCGCTCCTTTGCCTGCTTCCACGGCACACTGCTCTCCTGATGATGCTGCCTCCTGGCGACGCAGCGTGAACAAAGAGGAAGGGCTCAGTGGTCCACACAGCTCCTGGCACGTATCCTGGCAACGGCGGCAGGCACCCACACGGAAACGGTAGTCTGTGTTGCTCTGGAGACCGGAGATTTGAAACACACCCTCCTCTCCCTTGAAAACCTTTGAAGGCAGGAAAGAGGTGAAAAAAGTTTTACAGCTGACTTGGATAAGAAAGACATTTTAAGAAAGTAATAAGATAAGCGCAAAGGACGCAGATTTTCATCCAACTAAAAAGCATAACATGCTCCTGAGTGAAATCATTTTAGCTAGAAAACAGACATGCATGCTCACGTAAACTCATATTTTATTCAAAGAACACAGAAAAACAAAACAAATTAGATGTTTAAACTGTGAAAATTTTAAGAAATTTGGAATTTAATGGTAGCAACATTTAATCCTCTTTTACCAACTTAGTAGATTTGTCGCTCAATTTTTGGGAGAGGAATGTTCTTCCTATCATTCTTATTTGATAGGTTTCTAGGTGTGCAACAGTCCTCATTAAGGTCTTCTTTGGTGTATTTTGTTTCTCATGATGTGCCAGACGTTTTCAGCTGGTGAAAGGTCTGGTGAAGAGGCAGGCCAGTTCAGCACCCGGACTCTTCTACAAGAAGCTGTCCAGGAGACATCTTTTTAATGACCACCCTTAAAAAGATGTCTCCTGGATGGGAGCATATGTTGCTCTAAAACCTATATATACACCTTTCAGCATTAATGTTGTCTTTCCAGATGAGCAAAGTGCCAGTTTCCCTAGGCATTATTGGGCTCCCATACCCTCAGGCATACAGGATTTTGAACTAAGCGCTGATAACAAGCCAAATGGTCCCTCGCTTCTGTAGTGTGGAGGACGTATCATAGTATCATTCAAGTTTCCTGAAAAGAATTTCAAATTTGTCCTCCCACAGAACAGTTTTCTACTTTCATGTTAACAACATTTTTACATTTTGCTTTTTCTTTGCACGATAGAGTTTTAATCTGCATTGGAACTGTGTTCACAATGATTTCTGGAAGAGTTCCTGAGTCCTTACAGTGTAATTGATGTTACTGCAGTGCTGCTTGAGAGCCGAAAGATCACAGGCGAGGATCACACCGAGATTCTCCAGATTCTCAGAATCATTTCAAGATATTATGTACTGTAGATGATTGGATACTAAAAGTTTTCACCATTTTATATTGAAGAACATTATTATGAAACTGTTCCACGATTTGATGATGCGTTTTTTTTGTTTTGTTTTTTTTGGGGGGGGAGGGGGTGTATTCGCAGACTGGTGAATTCTCCTTCTAGCTTTGCTTCTGAGAAACTCTGCCCCTCTAAGATGTCATGTTACTGACATTTTGCCAATAAACCTAACTAGTTGCAAAATGTTCCTCCAGCTGTTTCTTTTTAGCACCACTTAGTTTGTTCGGTCTTTTGTTATCTCCACCCAACTCTTTTGAGACCTGTTGCTGCCGTCAACTTCAAAATGAACTAATATTTTTTGATGAAATAGTAAAATGTCTCAGTTTAAAATTTCATGTCTCCTATGTTCTATTGTGATTAAAAAACATGTTTAAGACATTTAAATGACCGCCTTGTGTTTTTCTTTGCATTTTACAGGGTAGAGTTTCTTTGGAATTGAACTTGTAGAAAGGTACGTGGTGTTTGTGTCAAAGGAGAATGTGTGTAGACAAAAAACACCATTTTATTTTTAGTGCTGCAGTAGAAGAAATGGTTTGATAAAGGTGCACTGAACTTTAGCTGTTAGACTCTCAAACCGACGAGAGGTAAATATAACTGAGTGCATTTACTGGTCTTCTCATAAAGAAATAAAAAAAACCAACAAAAATAAGGAAAAACAACCCCCCCAAAAAAGAACACAAAATGTTAAAAGCAGCATCTGATAACATATGTCTGCACAGGTTTTATCTACTTATGAGAGTCTGCAGTTCTTCCCACCAACCATTCTGTAATTCAATAACAGAAGTTGAAATGGCCCTGAAGACAAATAACTTTTTGTCTACCTGCCTGCCCACCACTGCAGCTGTGAGCAATCAAATCCTATATTTCCAGGTGCAGCAGACTCTTCCTGAGATACTTCTGTTTTGTAATTTTCATTAAAAGTATTTAATACCTCTCAGCAGGGGGGGATGTATATGAGGGAAGTGTTCACACATGGGTATTTTACTCTTCTATCAAATGTCAAAAGAAAATTGAATTAATTAATTCCAGCAGCTTCCTAGTGTTTAGATGAACTGGACAGCTCTCATGTAAGACCCGTTTACATGTGTGTGTTACAAACCTGTTTGTATTCTGACTCACGTCCCACCAGCACCTGGAGCACATAGCTCACAGGGTCCCCCCTCATTGGTGGAATAGTTTCCCATGTTATCTCACACATGTTCCCCTCCAGCTGGTGCACTCTGGGAGCTGTTGGAATTAATAATAAAAAATCATTATCTCATATACATGACTGCATATCGTTAAAAGACGCTTGCAAACAGATGAAGAGTATAATTAGAACACCATCTCTTGTGAAGTCAAGAAATGGTGGTTATCATTTTACAACATTTAAAATGTTGTAAATGGCCTGCATTTGTATAGCGCTTTTCTAGTCCCTAAGGACCCCAAAGCGCTTCACACTACATTCAGTCATTCACCCATTCACACACACATTCACACACTGGCGATGGCAAGCTACATTGTAGCCACAGCTGCCCTGGGGCGCACTGACAGAGGTTGTAAACAGTAAAGTGTAGATAAACTCACAGTTCAGTGATTTGCCAAACACTTAAAGCCTATATTTAACTGAAAACATTAAGAAGATAACTTATCCAGAGCTGAAACTTGATTCAGCATATAGAAAAAGTGGTATAAAACTGGGTATAAAAAGAGCATACCCAAGAAGGTTCATTCTTCCGGAAACAGTGCAGCAAAACACTTATGATTGAAGAACAACATTTTTCAATATGGAACTGCAACGACTTTGGGGATATTATAATGTATAATAGAAAAAATACATCATATAAATGTAAGGCTTATCTTAGGGTCAATGTTCATTTAGGATGAACTAAAACAAAGCAGAAGAAACAACTGAAATCTATCAATCAAAAATAGGAAACCGAGAAACATATATATATGAATATAAATAGTGAACATCAGCTACAACAAAGTGAGTCATGAAATTCATTTTGTTTTTCAGTTGTAACATTTGTTATGCACTGCAATCAAATCCTTGGGGATTAATGTCATTTTACACTGTAAATTACAATATTAACAACAACGATGTCATTTTGACTGCAATAAACTGCTGCATTAAATACAAAACACATTTTACTAACTGCTTTGATAACCAAGTATCTATATGTTGATTCATCTCAACATCACCTGCTCTTTATAGTTTCAAATGAATGCCTGACCCTTTTAAATGGCGTACACTGCTATGAGCTTTACAGAAGCTATTCGGTCCCTTGAGTGGGTTTATGGATATATCAATGCTATGCGGCACAGCTACCATCATACTTTGTAGATATATCCAGAGAGGTTACCCCTTACTGCAATTATTGGAGCTGTAATAAGCCACCCCCTCTCTTACAGTAACAATCAGATGCTGGAGGCAATAATCAGGCAGGCGACAGTAAACATCATCACTAACAGCCAAAAACAGATGCATTTGTTGCATGCGTAAAGCTTGATTTAATCCACGTAGAAGTGGCAAACATTACTGTATGCATGGATACTCATGCACTGGTGTGTTTGCGTTGCTCTGCCATCATATGTGAAATTGAGCTGACACTGGTGGACTGGTAGGACATCTTCACATGATCTGACCCCTGAAGATATTTAAAGTTAGATTTACCTAAATAGAGGACTGTGCGTTTTAATATATCTGATAATTCACAACTGTACGATCTGAAAAGGCAGCTGGTGTATAGCTAGTGATGAAGACAGGACTTCTTTGTGTGAAATGTGTTTGTGCACAAAGACATTTTCTCCGCTTCGGTTTACCTTTCAGGACAGGGGGTATAGACTTGGTGGTGCAGAACGTATGCGTGTCAGAAAAAGGACCCTCCCCAGCATCACTGATGGCCTGTATTCTGAAGCTGTAGCTGCTGGACTCGGTCAATCGCTGAACCTTGTAGGTGTGGCTGGGACCACGGTAGATTGTCACAAACCTAAACAGGGAACATAATGAAGAAGGAGAAATAAACAATAAGATGTAAATCTAAAAAAAATTTTTAAAAAGGAAGGACGGTTCAATGTGACAGAGGGAGCACTGACAGGCCTAGGCATTAAGGATCACTCCATCAGAGATAAAGGAGAAATGGTGAAGGGAAGTGAAGGTGATGGTGTTATGAATGGGTATAAGAAGGGAAGAGTTATGATAATAGAGAAAAACATGGTTAAACATCCATCCATCTATCCATCTAATTCAAGGTCGTTGGGGGCTGGAGCCGATCCCAGCTGTCAATACGGCTGAGGCAGGTTACAGCCTGATCATGTTGCCATCTTATTGCAGAGCACGGTCAAACAAGAACAGTAAAAAGTAAGGCACAAACACTTAGATACTCACTAATCACTAACTTAGTTATAAGGACTGATAGACCATGTTTGTGACTTGATATAGTTTAACTCAGCACAGCAGGGGTCACAAGAAAAATGATGAGCAGCTCAGCGGTGAATGTGAATATTTTAACACAATTATATGTTAACCTGAGGTAAGATTAACTTCAGAAATAAAATGTGGGGACCTTGAAAAGCAAGAGGAGCAGCAGAAGAAAAGAAAGCACCTTAAAAAAAAAGATAGAGATGATTGATGAACACGCAGGACAAACAGTGGCAGGCTATAGTCACAAATCTGATGAAAATGAGCACCAAAAGCATTCCTGGCTGGCTCGATGGACAGATTCATGGAGTGGGAGAGATAAAAGCAGGAAAAGTCTGGGAGATAAGTGAATGTGAGCCGAAGAGGGGTTATTTATCTCAGCAATCAGCTTTGCAGCAAAATAAGGTAAATGTCTAGGTGGCAAAGGAAGCCATGAAGCAGAGGAATGAGAAAAGAAAGACAAAGGTAAATGGTTAATGAACAAGAGAAGAGGCAGTAATAGAAGAGTAAAGTCGCAGGAGGATGCAAGGGAGAGAGAAGTTAAAGCAGAAGGATAGGTGATTGAGAATTAAAGGAGATGATGATAATGTTGAAGAGAGAAAAGAGAGTGCGAGACAAAGAGGAGAGGAGAGAGGTCACGGTTTAGTAGAAAGCTATAACTCCAGATGAGCTCTTTATGTAGCTGCACTACAGAAGTGATGTGTTTCTCTGGCTGATATATGATGTTATTAAACCTTGGCCTTACTGGTGGGCCATACAGTTAACACGTGCAGCGATCAACTGCATGGCTTAAAAAAAAAAAACAACTAATGCATTAACTTTTCCATCATCAGGAGCTATGACCTCTTCGCAGTCGACCAGACATAAATGGTAAGATATCAAAATAATTAACATTTAGCACAGCACAAACAAACAATAAATACCCTTGCACAAAAAAATCACTAGGACATAGTTAATGAGATGAATTGCCCTGGTGCTGACCAAAAGCTGACCAATTAACTACAACATGGCAGAGCAGAGGGTAGGATGAGAGAGGTCAGAATGTAATGAAACAATCTGTTATTGTTCTACTGCAGACGTCATCGTGTAAGAAGAATAAAGCCCTTGAACTACACTGCCCCGTGTTGTCATGACATTCTTGCAACTCTCAGATTTGACACAAGGCATGTCAGTGGGTAACATGGATGAGAAGAGGGAGAAATGAATGGAGCACAGGAAACAAGTGAAAATAAAAAGCCCTGACTCAGGGAGGACAGCGCATGAGCAACAAGTCTGCAAACAGGGAGATAAGAAAAAGAAAAATTAGTCTGAGCAAGCAAGGGAAAGGAGGATGGGAAGGTACAAGGATGAGAAATAAATAATGGCAACAATAATGGGAACCGGAGAACACTTTCTTTATCATCATAAAATAGAGGAATGCTTGGGTTTACTGAAAAATAAAGGAAGGGTAAAAAATGCCAATGCAGGGGAAATAATTCCTGAAAGGAAGCACACATTCATTGTCAGAATCTCCACATTCGCAGTCACCTGTCTAACAATAAACCCCGATTAATAAACATGAATTAAATCAGAGGACAGCAAGAGACAGAGGAGGGGAGGAGTCAAGGTCAAAAACATAAGTGTAATATCAGAAATGATATTTGCACAGATTATTGCTGGCTATTCAATATGTTTGTTTACAAAGCTAAATACTTCAAGATTTCATTAGTTCCCTGCTTTCAATGTGCCCTTCCAATCTCGCTTATTATGTCAGCAGTGAAGCTTCTGGTTGCCATGGCTAACTCATACTAAAAAATAAAAACCCTTCTAATTCATTTTAACAGAGCGTGATGAGAAAGAAAAGGGGAAAGCAGAGCAGCGTGGGAGGAGTGCCCTGTAAATCTTCTACGTCCATTCTTAATTTTATATGCCTTTGCACACAAATACACAGTGTACAAGAAACTGTGATGCACCACTAACCACTTATACCACCTTTTTTTAAAACACATTTAAAATATAGATGCCAGTGATCGCAAGGTACCCTCCCCACACACTGCTCCCCGAGAGCTGCACTGGTGGCTGCCCACTGCCTCACTGGGTGAATGGGTTAAATGCAGAAAAGTATTTTCCCTATGGGGACTAACACATACACATTCTTTCATGAGCCACTCCTCATCCCTAAGTCTACAGCATAAACACTTGGGGAAAAAAAAGACAAATTAACCTTGAGTTTAGTTGCCAACTATGTTTAATACTCCAACTCCTATAACTTCATCGGGTGCATACAGACACATGCATAATATACCTAACTGCATCCAAGCGTGATTACAAAGAAAGAAAAATGTACATAAATATGCACAAACATTACTGTGGCAGTTAGAAAAGGGTAAACAAAACTGTGAAAGCTGTTTGCATTTTTATGGCAGAGAGCGATCGCATACCTCTATGTTTGTTTATGTGTATGTGTGTCACAGAAGCTAACAGACCACAGCCTGCCAGTTAGGGACCCATCTGTCAGTTATGGTACCCATTCCAAGGGTGTCAAGGTGCCAGCTTGATACAGCCAACCCTTAATTCAAACACTGATAAGGGCCAACCAGAAGGATAAAGGAGGGAGCTAAACAAACTGACAGTTGGGCAGACGGGCTGGTGCGATGCATTACAGATACTCTTAGCTCTAGCTACTTGCAAAAATTCCCTCCTCCTGAACTTTTTTTGCCCCCAGATGTGTATTTGACTCCCTGTCCATAATTATTTTCCATCCTCTCCTCCTCAGTCTGCTAACACTATCTTTCCATTTCTCTTTTTATCGCTGCTGTCTGACCAGTCAATTCAATGAAGGCTTGATTGTTGGGGGCTGCATCCCTGCTGTGTCCAGCTCCACTCAACATGACTACTCCCAGGTACATCTAGTTACTGCACACAGAGGAAAAGGCACAGATCCCCACAAGTACCTTTAATGTTAAATGCACACACTCCCTCAGCTCCCCTCAGCTGCTCTGGTTTTGTCCTCCTAGTATTTGTGTTCTTCTCAATGATGTGCATATTTTTAACCTGGGTTCTAATTTGATCAATTGACTAGTTATAGGGTGAGAAGTCCTCTGAGGGCAACATCATAGTTTCAATCCCTTGTTACACATGAGGTTCCATAGATAAACGCAGACTATCGTTCTGTCTATTGCTGTCATAGAGACAGGATTAGTAGGTTAATTGGGTGTTCCACTTTTTGTTTATAAATGGGTAAATATAAGCTTCGAGTCCAAGATTTTAATGTGTTGTTTAAATAAGCTGGACTCAGCCCATTCCCTCAAGTAAACAATGATGATGGAGCAGTATAAACTGGTCCATGTATACTCCACCTGTGGTTCTTGTCCTCCATCTGTAGTGTGTAGACCATGTCATCAGCAAGCAGAGCACGTGTGTGGCTGGTGTTTTCGCCCCACTTGAGCTTCAGGCTTTGAGGGCCAGCCGCTGAGCATTCGAGTGGGGGCGGCGGTGGTGGGAGAGGGCGTGTCCTCACGATCAGTGGTAAACTGTTGGGACTGGAGCCAATGGCATTCACTGCCTGGATCTGCACACTAAAAATCATGGGAGAGAGCGAGAAAGAGATAGAATTTATTTGTTGAATATTGCACTGTAAAAATGTTTATTATTATTTTATTATTTATCATCTTATATTGATTGGATTTTTGTGGAAATGTCTCTAGAGATGAGAGCCAAACAAGCCAGCATTTAAATTTTACTTGAGCATGTGTGCACTGATTTAAGATCACAAGCCAAAGTACGTGACCGTGAAAGTGCTGTACCATGCAACCTTGAATGCTCTCCATGTATTTGCAGACCTACCTGTCCAATGCTGGACACTTAATGTGGTATATTAGCTTTGACCTTGGATGTTTGTGGATCCTTTTGCCTGTTACCATTCTCCTACGTACTCTGCATGATAAGCCTTAAATTTGTCAGACTTCCTGGTCCACATTTTCCCTAAATGTGTACCAAGTTAGGTAACTGCTATCACTGCTACAGGGTGTTTTAGACTATTTGTGCTAAAGAGAGAACTTAAATACTACAATGTATTCCCTAAAACATAATTATAAAGATTATAAATGACAGAGAAACATCATTTTAAGCACATGCATTTGAACTCGTATGCCAAAAATATATGGACTCAACTGGACACACAGACACACACAGCTGCTAATTAAAGAGAATTGGGAGAAATGGATTTCTGTTTTTCAAACTCCCCTGCCGCCTTTCTTCCAGGAAGCCCCCTCTGTTCTTCGCGGTTTTTCTGTCAGTGTCTGATCAGCTTATTAGCATCAATATCAGAGGTCCTCAGCTAGTTGGTATCCTTCTTCTGACATTTAACCACTGATTCTTTGTAACTGCAACCTTTCATTATAATTCATGCAGCTTAGGTAAACATTTTTGTGTTTGTGTCTGTGAGGTAAAGGGCAACATGTATCTATCCAGTGGATAATTAAGGATATGGATAAAAGATAATAAGAGATTGTGAACAACGTAAAGATAAGGCTTAGCTTTTGATGATAGGTGGGGCTACATTTAGATATGATGAGAGTGAACGTGAATGTTTATTTGTTAGCCCTGTGATGGACAGGCAACCTCTCCGTGTTGTACCTTAACAAACTTTCATCTTAGGCTCAGAACAGATGCAGTTTATTTATTTATTTTTAATTTATGATTTATTTTTTTTACACTGTCAAGAGAAAAAAACTAGGGGACAAGTAATTGAATAATCTTGAGACTATAATTTCACCAGTGCAAGAACCTCTGACTGGTAAATTATTTAAATCTCACCTCAATGACTCCAAGAAAATCACTAAAGTGAAAATACACATCTAATTTTAGAGGACAAATTGAACTCTCTCCTTTACTTGAAGTTAAGGTTGACATTGTTGATAATACAGAATGCACCTTCTTTGCACTGCAGCTTTACTTAATGTGTATTCTGTCATTGATGACTAGACCACAAGTATACACTTAAGGGTTTTCTTTGGGGTTTTCTTTTTACTTTAATATGGTTTTGTTATTTATTTGGGGCAAAGATGCAGGAAAGATATTCAAATCTTGTATTTTGAAGGAAATATTTTAAACTCCATTGACAGAAAATGCAAGTCATCTTAAATCTATATAGATATTTAATTTACAAATATTTAATGTAACTATATTTAATGTTTTATAATTTAGCGTATTGTATTGTTGGCGGGAAAAAACTAAAAACGAATTTCTTTGTTTTAAAAAACAAACATATGTTTCCTTTTTCATCGGTTTAGAACAAAAACTGAAGTCTAAATACTAATACATAAAAATAGTGTGTTTAACCTCCAAGCTGCAAAAAAAATTGTACAAATGTGGGTGCGCACACACACAAACAGCCACAAAAACACACAAATGTTTACTGTGGTCCTTTACAAGGCCACACAGTCAAAGAATATCTGAAGTACAATTCCTGTCGTAAATAACAACCAGAATTATAGCTATTTGGACACACAAAAACTCCCACAGATTCTCTCAAATGCACACAAACACACGCACGGGCTCACACATGTTCTGTCTCACTGGCAGCCATTATGCAACAGAGCACAGTGACACCGGGTCAAAAACAACCTCAGAATGAAAACAATGGTGCGAGATCACCCTGCCTCTGCACATGTCACCTTACCTTGGATAACCTCTCCCTGTTTGTCTTTTTTAATTAGAATTCAAAGAACTTGCTGCACAATCATATGCATGCTCACAAACACACTTAAAAGCAATCACAGACAAGCGGGATCACAACAACGCTGTGCATAAAGATGATTAAGGGGCTGTTTACTGCTACTTGAGTACAACATGTTTGAGATCCAAGCTCATGCAATCATCAAACATTTTACCCCTATTTAAATACAGAATGTGTATAAAAAAATTGATGTAGCCTGCTTGTCTGTATGAAAAGAAGCCAATGCAGAAGCTGTAAAACCTGCATTCTCCAAATGGCCAAAGGAGACAGATTGTGTAAAATGAGCTAATGAACCCGCTTCTTACACCCAATTTATGCTTCAGTGGGAAATTTACATCATACCCTAAGACATAACTGTAAACCCCTCTGAACCCAATGCCGTAATCTCCAACATAACTTGATGTTGACCTCCCGACAAATCTAACTGTCCTCTATTCTCACTACTTTTCTGCTGTGATTTTTGAATTCATCAGTGATAAAATAGCAATCATCCCCCCAGTATAATAGATAATTATAGGATCACTATAACGAATTATAAATATTAGCAAATTCGTAGAAGGATATCAATGAAACTATTGGAACTGATGTGAGGGAAGGTACAAAGAAGTGGAAAAATTAGAGCGCCAAATATGTTTGCACCAGCATTTTATTTCTTTCTATGGGCTGGCACCGCATATGAAAAAATGGGACACAACCACACGGTAATTAACATGTAATGCACCACACACAAGCATAAATGGTTTGGTTTAGCTATCATTACCTGTATTCACTGTCTGGCTGCAGGCCTGTGACAAGGTGAGTTGTCCGTGAATCCACAGTGATGGTTTGGTCGTCCAGGGTGATGACGTAGGAGGTAATCTCGGCCCCGTTACAGTTTGGCTCCTCCCACTTCAGGTGGAGGCAGGTAGACGGGGAGTGGCCTGTCTCTGAGGAGGTCGGGAGATCCAGGGGGGTAAGGGATGATACCTGGTCAGGATTTGTAGCTGGGGTCTGGAAACTGCTCTGCTCACTATATGGACCAGCACCTGCCTGATTGACCGCCTGAGTGGGAGACACAGAAACACAGAGGGGGTGAGAGAGATTGAAGAGGGGGGGAAACTGCTGTGATTGATAGTGCTGAGATAGAGGATCCCGGTGATAGAACAGAGGTGAGGAGAGGGATAAAAAGAAAGGGATAAGTGAAGACTAAAACCAAGGCAGACAGATGATGATTAGCAATAAGAAGGGAAGAAGATAAATATGAAGGGATTTATTAATAAGCACAGGACAAAGAGCAAGACAACGTTAAATGGGAGGGACTGATATAGAAAACTGAATAGACAAGAAAACTAACAGAAAGACATGAATTCAAATTAGTTTGAAAGAGCATTAATCCTTTACTTGTGCTGTCAAACACATTAATATTCAGCTCAAGTATCCACTATTAAATGCCTTTCAATCGCTCGTTGTAATAGTCACCTTCATTGCCTCTTACAGACTTCGAGAGGAGGAAGGAAGGACAAAATTGGTATTTTATATACATCTTGTCCATTCGGAAAGCTTGAACTACAAATAAAAAATGTAGATAAATTGCTTCCTTCCATCCATTTTTGAGCCTTGTAATAGTTACATGTAAAAAGCAACATTCATGGATTAAATGTACTTAGCAAATCCAAGCAGATGAGCAGTGTTTGTTTTCTTGTAAAAATGCACTGTAGCCACTTTCCAAAAACAGCCAAGCACCATTCACGAGTAGATACCAAGGAGAAGGAATCTACAATGTGCACTTATATATAAATCCTTGACGGTTTATCTCAGCATTAAACTATCTAGATAACTCTGGGTCCAGCAAGAAAAGTTATACTTCAGTAGTTTCTCGGATTTATCCTCAGCTGTCAAATTCATTTTGCAGAGGCTAGAAAAACACATAGAAACTGATTTAACTTATCCTTACATTGGCGTCCCCCCATTCAAAGCATTCTCATAAAACAAGTGCGTGTCAGGTTGTGCAGATTTGAAACACTGCTACAGAAGATGAACCAGTACAAGTTCATTCAGGTATAGAACGTATGGAGTCACACAGAGTTCAACCAAGTCGGCGCCTCTGGTGTGATCCATTCCTGCAATCTTCTGAAGGTGTACAGATATGAACACACAGGCGTACACTTCTAGTGCACAGAGACAAAGAGAAATCACATACATGTAGGAAAGCAATTATTAGGACGGTAGGTTGACCTTGGATTGTCAACCTATTAACTATTAACCGATTATAAATAATCCTATAGAGATGTGAGCCATAAAGCATGTTGTTATTGGATTCATAGCTTCAGAGGGTACAAGACAGAAAGGGAGTAAGGGAGAGAGTTAGACAAACAGAAGGAGAAAGACGGCACTTATTTATGCACCACATTAAGGGTCAGAATACAAACTGAATCAATGACCATCAATCTTTCCCTGGAGTCTGAGTGTTTGTGTTGCAGCATCTTGGTTTCATGTTTCCAGGCTGAATTTTTGTCGCGATCACAATTCAGTTATTTCTTTTGTTTCTGGAAGTGCTTATGTTCCATAAACTAGTACGTTCTTCTTTTCTCATTGTCAGTTTAACTATGCATGGCTTCAACATAAGTGAATGTTGTATGCCTGTCTATGTTCATCTAAATCCACTGTAGGGATATCTAGTAGTGTGTGCACTACCTGTAGCCTGCAGCAGTAATTTGTGGCAGGTGTCAAATCTGACAGTTCACACTGCGTGGCAGATCCGCAGTAGATGAGCTCCATGGGTTCATCTTCCCTCGCCCACTCCAAACGATATTCAGAGATGTCTGTACCCGAACCCTCAGGGCTCTGCAATAGAAACACAAAATCAGCTCAATGGAATTAACAGATACCTGAAAGTTAATGGATTCAGGGCTTGTTTTGCAAACCCAAAATGAAAAACAAGATTTTTTTTTTTCATCTAAACTTAAGTCTATTGAGGTAGGTAAGTATTTGGACCCACATTTATTGTCATTTAACCTTGGTAAATCACCACAGCAGATTTGAAATCAAATGGTCAAGATCTGATTAAAGTGCAGACTAAATTCAAAGGTTTTAACAAAAGTACATCATTAACTGTTTAGAAATTACAGCCATTATAACCATGCATAGTCTGATAGTTATACCATGGTTGCATAGTTACTGGCCAGGTGAGGCCTGTAATATTCCAATGACAAATTAGGTATATAAATCAAAAGTGTGCAACCTTCATTTGGTATATTTTCAGTGGAATATGTGGAGTATGGGGACCAAAAAATGATGAATGTGACTGAAAAACAAAAAAAGATACCCTTTAAAGTGATAGGAAAAAAACTTTAGGAGTGGCCAAATCAGCAAGTTGGTATATTCTTAAGAAGGAATGAGCCTGCTAAGCAACACCAAAAGGCCCAAAAGATGACTTTACTACTTTTTTTTATTTTAAACAGTAAAAGGGAGCTAGAGCTCTTTAGCAGTGTTAAAAAATGTGGCCTGTCTTTTTATATTTTCTTGTCTGTTTTTTGTTCCTTCCATACACTGTTTATTTCCTTTGATAAATGCAGCTGTGTTTTTGGTTTGCCTCACCTCCCAGTTGAGTGTTACACAGGTGTTACTGGTGAGTGTGATTATGGGAACTCCACACTGCGCAGGAGGACCCGCTGCAGTCGTCACCTCTGTAGGCTCAGAGTATGGTCCGTACTAAGGGAGACACAGATCGATTGACACAAAATAAATGAGAAAGTTGAATCATTTAGACAGTAAAAAGTTTACAAAAGCTGAAAATCAAATTCGAATCCCAAACTGAAAAGCTGTGAAATATAGACACAGTCATCTTGTTGAATAAGCAACAGTGCTGAGGTTTTGGCGCCATCTAATTCACTTTCAGGTGACCGGATAATCAAAACAATCAAATCTTATAATATTAAGTTAATTTTCTAGGGCACACTGATCCAACTACTCAGTGTCTGTGTCTACACCTACGGTTTTAAGTTGAATTTTCTGCTTGTTGCTTAATATTGGATGTGTATTAAGAGCTCCCAAGTTTGTGTGCTCAATATGCAGAGCAAATTTCAAAGCCATAAGTAAACAAATGCTATTTAATTCAATATTTCATGCTTAGCTGTTATAAAACATCCCTTCTTTTATAGGCTGACCTATTAAAGTGGCTGGATCAAGCTTCAAAAGGTTTCAGCTACGATTTTCTGTTGTTCTTTAATAAGTTTTATGGTCTAGCCTGGTGAATTACCAGATCGCCATGGCTTTCATTTATTTATTTTCATTTTTATTATTGATCACACTCTTGCTTTGACAAGCCAGACAGTTTCTCACCCCAGCCTCATTGGCAGCCCTCAGTCTGAAGCTATATGTTGCACCAGGAAGCAAACTAGCGACAGTGCACTGTAGCTCCGAGCCATGATACACCTCCGTTGGCTTGGCGTCTCCCTCACTCATCTCCAGACTGTACACACACTCCTCACACACTCCCTCAGGGGAGTCTAAGAAGATCAAATAAGAGAGAGCGATAAGAAGAAACATTTACAGTGAAACTAACCACAATACATGAATTGTGATGAAAATACACAATACATATGTCACGATATCTTGTTACACATAAATTCTTAATGATGTATTCAGTATTTCACAAGCTTTTTATACTGCTTACAGATTAATACACAGGGTATATTTTGAATACTTTCTAGGGGTTTTTCCCCATAAACCTGGTGCTATTCTCTGCTTGCAGAAAGACAAAAGTAATAAATAATGGTGACAGTGGGGAAAACCCTCCAATACTTTATGTTTGACCTTCAGCTCGAGCCAGTAATTGCAGCTGCAGCAGTGCCTGAATGTGAGCTGATTAGAGACATGACCAGCTGTATTAAACTGGTAAAAGAAAGAACTTCCTCAGCATGGCAGGCTGGAAGACCTTTTCCTGCCAAGAGATAACAGTACTAATCTACAATAATAGGCTGACATTAGGAGAGTTAAGTCAAATATGAGGCTAGGTTAGGCATTTAATGAGCTAAATTAGGGCTCAATTAGGCTGAAACGTGGTTGACTCGGCTTACATTAGAATTGGCCAGGGAAACATATTAAACGGCCAGAAGGTGATTTAGCTGCCTTATACGAAAATAATTCGAATATATTCTAGTAAATAAAAGTAAACAGCGTGCGTGTATGCCTGAACTCACCCCATTCTAACTGCACCTCCTTGTGTTTGGCTTTACCGACAATCCTTGGCGGCTGGCAGGGCCCTGGTGGGACACTTAATGTACGGACTGGAACACTACCAGTGCACTTAAAGAGCAAAAAATAAAAGGTACAAAAGACAATTACAGATAGGCTTAATTATTGGTGTACATGTATAATTTTAGGAAAGATTACTGAAAAGATTGTTTGACAACAACAACTATATTTTTCAGTGCAAAATATCTTTTGAAATTCCCATCATATTTAGATAGTGAGCGGGTACTTCATGTCCCTTGGTACCTATGGAGTTGAATGAACAAAAAGTTTGTGGAGTTCCTCAGGGCTTTATTCTTGGACCTCTCCTATCAAACAGACTTTTTTTTTTTTACTTAGATTATAGAATATTGCTATTTTTGTATTATTGTTATGCAGATGACATACAACTGTACATATTAGTGTAACCTCAGACTGACAGTTTACAACACTCACTCAAAAAAATTGACTACAATTTATTATTGGACGTGCAAAAACACACAATTGAACTTAGATGGGCCTGAAACTGCCCCCATTGCCTTAAAGAAAAAAGAAACATATGTATGTATATATATGTATATCTATGTGTGTGTGTGTATTGCTGAAATTTGTGTATGCATGCATGTATGTGAATCTTACTGGGCTGTGTCCTCCGGTGGTGATACTACACACACGTAGGTGATAAACGGTCCCTGGTCTCAGTCGCTCACACACACACTGTGTTGCCGGACCACTGTACGCTACTTCCCATTGGTTTGCTGCACACATACACACACAAAACAAGGAATTACACTAAAGCACATACACATAATCAGCTGCTGTTTTGTACGTATTTCTGCAGTTTCCAGAAACAGAATCCCACTGACAACGCTTTGTTCCTGTTCTGTTGTTGATGGATTGCGTATGCCTGTGAAATATAATACTCTCCCTGTGAAGCAGCACTATGCCGTGCAAATATAGGCCTTGTTTACATCACAGCGTAAATTTCCTAGCAGAAGTGTATTGTGTTTCTGCAATGCATAATACTATGTTATCTCTACAGACTGAATGTACCTAAAAGTGAAGTTTGAATAAACCTAATATGGCAGAGTCATTCGTTTCAATGACCACATCTTTTTAAGAAGAAAAAGGTTTTAAAAAGCCTGTCTTGATATCACAGGACAGTGTAAATACAAGCTAGATAAAATCATCCAGATGACTTTTTAGGTCGATTCTATTGACAAAAGAACAAAGGCTTTTGATATTCTCTTCTTCTGTACACTGACACTCAACAGCAATCTTTTACTATATATTGAAAGGAACTAGACAAGATTAGGTTTCCTGTAGGGCAGGTGTGAGCAACGCTGTGTGCATCAATATCTTAATTTGATGCTAAGAAAGACTCAATTATGGCTTCTATTTTTTTTAGGCTGGTAGTTGAGAAAAGTTAAACAGCACACGAAGAGAAAAAGGTCTGTCCTAAGATGCTGGAAAATCTTTCATGGTATGTTTGAATAGATACAGTGACAGACAGATATAACACAGGTACCTTCAGAACATCCCTCTGAGATCTCAAGCAGGTACGTAAGAGCTTCAGATCCCCCATTGTCCATTGGAGGATCTGTCAAAACAATTGATGAACTGATTTTAGTTTGGAATATTATTGCACATAAACAATTTTCCAATTCGCAGGAGACAACATGTAGAAAATAATTGTTATTATTTTAGTTACTTTAGCTAGCTAAATTATTTTATCTGGGACATTAATATCAATACCAAAAAAATCTATTTGTTGCAGTCTTATGTATTTTTTGCAATTCTTCTGAAAGTGTGAAACACACTAACAGCAAACAGTGTCAGGATTCAGTTTGATCTGGATCAAGTCAACTTGCACACATGTAGTCTTGGCTTGGATAATGCTGAAAAGTCTGTACCAAATCAATTTTGTATGAAAGCATCTCAATGAGTATCTGTATGTATACGATATGATATATGCGCATGGATGTGTGCCTCTTTACCCCATGTGACAGTAAATCCATAGGGTGTTGCCTCTGTGACACAGGGTGCAGATGGAGGGCCCGGTTTGTCTGGATTGGTGGTGCAAACCAAAACTTCACTTGGACTGCTCTTTCCCTCCATGTTTGATGCTATGAGCTGCAGGAAGAGAGGTGGACAGAAGGGACAATTAGAGACACAGAGCACGTAACAAAGGTACAAAGACAAAGAGTGTAGTGGGAGATCAGAAATCGAGAATAGGTTGATAGAAAGGCCTAAATTAGGCTCAGTGATTGAACAGGCGACTGCATGCTGCAAGGCCAAACTGTACTAGCCTGGGTTCAATTCCAACCCAAGGCCCTTTGCTGCACATCATCACTGCTCCCATTCTCCCTGCTTTCCTTTCTCTTTTTACTTAAATTTGTCTAATACTGGTCAGAAAAATCCAAAAAGTAGATAAAGGATGAAACGAAGGGGAAGAGAAAAAGAGGAAAGAAGAAAAGGCAAAAAGAATATAGACAGAGTGGAAAACTGAGAAAAGAGCCACAGCAAGCCAAGCAGAGACACACAAAAGAATCTCTGAAAACTTAAATCAATTGTCGTGATAAATAGGAGCCATTAGTCTCTGCCCCTTCACGTGTTGTTGTTTTGGCTTCTCTGCCTTCTTCTCTTTTCTATTATCTAATTCTGTCGCTACATCCAATAGATAATTTTGCTTTGTTACATTATGTCTACACCAGATGGATAGCACAGGGAAAGCAGAAAGACTTGATTCTTTGTGTGTATTCATGTGTTTTGTGTTTTCGAAGATGCAAAGCTTTATCAAACAATGTGCATGAGGCAAGGTAGAAAAACCCAAAATAAACACAAACTCACCTGGTGAGGTACGCGCAAGAGGATTTTGATAGATTTGTACAATGTCCTCAAATTATGAACAGGCACAAAAACCACAGCTGAATGTTGTGTACTTGACAAATGGTTAGTGATTTGCAGTGTTAGACAACTCGTTAAACTATAGCCAAAATGACATATTTTGCATATTCTCTCTTAGTAAAAAAAGCTTCTGATTTTCAACAAGTGGGACACAAGTGCAGAAACCAAAACACAAATGCTTACCCTGAATTTATACTGTGTACTCCTCTTCAGGCCTTGTACAGTACAGCTCAAGTTTTCTCCAGTGTACTTTGGATGAAAGTCTGTTCCCTGTGGGAGGTACAGTGTTTGATTCTCTCAGGGTGCATTAGGATCGGCATGAATTATTGAGTCTATGGATGCAATAAATGCTGACTTTTAGCTCACATTTTATTGTATATAGATATATATATGGATACAGTAGAAAGAGAGCAGAGAACCTGTGGGAACATATAGTGTGGTTTCTTTTATATGTACAGTACTGTGCAAAGGTTTTAGGCAGGTGTGGAAAAATGTTGTAGAAAATGCTGTAAACAAAGAATGCTGTACATCGGGGGTCCCCAATCCCAGTCCACGAGGGCCGGTGTCCCTGCAGGTTTTAGATCTCACCCTGGGTCAACACACCTGAATCACATGATTAGTTCATTACCAGGCCTCTGGAGAACTTCAAGACATGTTGAGAAGGTAATTTATCCATTTAAATCAGCTGTGATGGATCAAGGACACATCTAAAACCTGCAGGGATACCGGCCCTCGTGGACTGGGATCGGGGGCCCCTGCTGTACATGCTCAGAGTTTATGTCTGTATTGCATATTTGGATTTACGGCTGTGCATCAGTGGCACTTACCCTAAATCTTTTTCATGAGATTATGAATATAAGCTTCGATATTCCTTTATACTGTCTTTTTCATTTGTTATTTTCATGTGTATATCCATAACTTTCAAACTGAGATCTTTTAGTCTTCGGTTGACTGACTGCTGTAGTACAACACACCCTGATGCTGATTTATAAAACTCGTAAACTGGGCACAAACTAACAAACAGACAAAAGATGTTCTAGAGTCTTTGAGGTCTATTTTTAATGTAAAGAAAAATAAAAGTTACAAATGTTTTTGTACATGGACGGTACTCACGCTGTTGTCCTCCTGGATCTCAAGTGTGTATTTGAGCTGCTCCACATTGGGACTGCCCTCAGGACGCCCCCACTCCAGGGTCACCCAGGACACCCCTGCCCTGACAAGCCGTGGTGCCAGAGGCAGAGCAGGCAGGGTGCCCATGGTGATATACACCACCTCTGAACTGAAGCCACTGCCGAAAAAGAAATTTCCATTTTAAGCTTTCCTTCAAAACGCTGAAGAAATGATTGCCATGGGTTTCAATTTCAGCTGAGATGGAGGCATGAATATTTTTCAAAGTGAAAGGTGGAGAAAAATCAGCGAAAATGAAAAGGAAAAGGACACTGACAGAAGTGCATTGGTGATTAATCACAGAGGTGCGTGGCGTTGGGAGTGAAGACGTTATATGAGTTCCGAAGAGGATGTTAAACAGAGAAAAAAGGAGCGCATAGGGAGGATGGATGATTTGTAGTGGGGGGAAAAATATTCAAGTTAGAATAAAAGCAAGTAACCCAGCTTCAAATCTGCCAAACTGAAGGATGCATTAAAGCTGTTTTGAGTTCGTTCACAGAGCTAATATCTCCTCCCTCACTCTCAGTCCCCTCTATGACCTCTCTGCTCCCTTTCACCCTAATAACTGCAGGCGAGATGGTCCACGCTATAATGACAAGAGGAGGCAAGAGAAGAGTGGAAATAGAGGGAAATGGGAAAAGAGGAAGTCTATTCTTCTGTATGTAACTGATGTTACATGGAGAATAGCAGTTCGGTGCTTGCCTGCTGCCATAGTGGTATACAATGAAGAAAAACAACAAAAAAACATGCAATATGCCTCCCATGACACTGTATTCATGCAGGTGTGCGTATATAAAACGTATATATACATTCAATAACAGAACTTTACCTTCTGCCTATGTCGTTGTGTGCAGCCAACTTGAATGTGTAGTCACAGGCGGGGTAGAGTCGTGTGACCTTATGGTGCCTCTGGTTCCCAAAGTAACATTCTCTGAAAACGCGGTTCTTCTTTCCCTGCAGAGAAGACGTATACAGAAAAGACATAAAGACAAGAACGGACATTAGGATTGATAAGCTCACCTACAACAAAATGTTAAATGTGAAGAAAAAAATAGCACGACAAAGTAAAGAATTATAAATAGAAGATGGGAAGAAAAGCCAGACATTCATTGCAAGAGCATAATTCACAGTTTTATTCCATCTTGTCTGAAGAGCCCAATGTTGACATGTGTTTAGGGACACTGGTGATAGGTGTAAGTGCTGCTTTGAGGTAAGGGTAGAGCATGACAGATGACAGACTTACCTCATCCCACTCGAGCAGGTAGTTTGTAATTTTGGATCCGTTGTCACCCGGGGGCTACGGGTGACAGTGAAATGGACCGAGGGAAGCAGAAAAGAGAGAAGAGAGAGATTGAGAGATTAGCTAAGGATAAAAGACTCTGACAATGAGACAGACAGAATACCGGCTGTGTTTTTATGATTGGCCTTATATCCTGTCTGGGTGACTGATGTTACTCTTTATGAATGACAGTGTGCAAGGATATAAAAAAATACTAAAATAACAGGTCAGAGAGGACACAGGGGTGCATTCTAACAGAGTTGTGCAACTACTTGTCGGTGCTGCACGGCTGATGCACTCAAACTATTAACGCATCGGAGTTGTAATATACTTAATTTAAAAAATCATTAAATGTGTCACAATGACAAATCACTGTGATGTTTCTTGGGAGTGAAAATACTTCATGGAGGAGTATCTGGACAAGAAGATGTCAGTAGCTGTACCTTCCACTGTAGGGTGAGGCTGGTCTTGGCACGATTTGTGAGTTTTGGTGGTGACGGGACATCAGGGACCGCGGATTCTGTGGTAAACGAGCCGGCCTCTGAACACGAGCCTCGAACCAAATTGTACATTGCCGACACCCTGATACAGAAAGACAAACGAAACACAGTTAAAGGATGTTTTTATCCAACATTTCAGGGATTCCTGGACCCCCATACGCTGCAACACACAAGTAGTTAATATTAAAAGGATTGAGGCCTTACCGTACGTGGTAGTCTGTAGCTGGCCTGAGATCTTTCAGATGATACTCCAATTCTTCACCACTGAAACACAGACAACACCAGTGTCCTTTGGATGACCTTAAGGATTAAATTTGGACGCTGTATTTTTCCCCCCAATTTCTAAGTTTCCTACCTGTATATGAGGCGATATTTCCCATCTCTTCCCTTATCTGAGAGAGATACCTCATAGGAGCAAGACACAGGTATCCCGTTACTATGCCTGTTCACCAGCCCTGCTGGGGGGGCCCAGGACAGCCGTGCAGTCCGTGCCTGAATATTGGAAACCTTCAGGACACAAAGGAATACACATAGTTATAGCCGCATTGCTAGTGAAGTCAATAACAGGTAGTTAAAAGCCACTGTACAAATGACTGTTGGATTTGCATACAATGTTACCAATAGTAGTCATTTTTAAATATTTTAAACCACAACATCTTGTGGTTTAAATGCCTGTTTGAAAAGAAGCTGAATCCATCCATCCAGGTGAATTTATGCTGTTTATATAACTCTATGTGTACATTTGCAACAGACTACTGCATTCATCATAAACGCTTTAAGTTATAGGACATCGAACATGCATCATGCATCAGCACTGAAAAAATAGACAGTGTCACAAGGAAACCTCCGAATTGTATTACTTCTCATTCTCAACTATAATAAACTTGATCAGTTTATAAGTTATCTGAGGTTTTAAGCATAGATAAATCACTACTACTGGACATCAATCAAAAATCTATTTCATGTATTTCTCAGCATCTCTATCTGTAGTTATACTAAATATCCTCTTTGTATCATCACTCAGTTGTCACAGTCTCAAGCCGCGGCGTAAACTCAAAGATGTTAAATGGGCCGCTTGCACAGCATGCTGACCAAACTGTTTTAACTTGGAACGAGCAGTTCCTCTCTAGTAAACCATGTCTGCACGGAAGCAGCTCATTCATTCAATCACATTCCCCTCAGGGAAGGAAAAAAGCTATTACAGAGTGTGCAGCTTGGGTGAGCAGATGCTGCCCTCAGGTGGCCAGCATTAGCACAGCGTAAATTATAATTACTCTCCCTGCTGCTCAAGCCCCCCAAAAAACATTGAAAATGAGGAATGTGCTGCATATACAAGTCAGTATAGATATTATTCTAAACGTAAGCATTTCGTTTTCATGTGACTCAAAGAGACCAAATAAACATACGGAAAAGTCATCACTGCTTAAGCCAGCTGTGACTGCATCGGACAGGGAGGTGATTGATGAGAGCGGTTTGAATGTGTGTGTGCGTGCAGTTGTGGGAAGAGGTATGCCAACCTGTGGTTTTTCGATTGCAGACAGCATGTCTTGAACACGCTTCCCCTCTGAATCATGATCTGAGGAGAAAGACAGAAAAAAAGACAGTAATTATCAAGAATGACATAATAAATATTCCATCATAAAAGAGAGGCTCTGTGTATAAACTGAGGTGAGAATTCCCAAGGGCATTTTTCCCCACATGTCAGGCCATAATTACAATCTATGAAAACTGTTTCTACCTTTCTTAATGTGAGTTTGATTGCCAGTGAAAATTCTAACTTTCAAATCACATCCACATTGGCTGCATGGCTGAAAATGAGACAATGAGAACATTTTCAGCTCCCAGATGTTACCGGTACTGTCAAATGTAGAAATCGAGGGCTCATTATTACACAAGGTCGGCCAAGGTTTGCGTTTAAACGGGGGAATTAAGGTTGAAAATGTCACCAAAAAGCATTTGCATTCCCTAATCAACTGTAATGTTTTCTGTGGCATTTTCAGTCCAGCAAATAATTCAACCATCTGTGGAAAAATGAAACAAAAATAGCCCAAAATACAATAAAAAACCCCATCAATTCTTTAGAAATTCTGTTGCCAAATGGTGTGTGATGCAACACTTGTTTGCTTCAGTAAGTGCCTATTTCATCTCATCAAGTCGTTACACAGCTGTTGGGGAGGAGGAGAGGAAAAACCTAAATGCATTCCACAGAAAGGATTACTCATAAATTTCTGACCTATGAAACAATATGGGGATCACCAAAACAAACAAACAAATAAATAAATAAATAAACATGACTCATATTCCACAATGGCTACTCTGCTTTGTACATAAAAACTGATGATGGTTTTCAGATTAAACAGTTCATAGAAATAATAATTCTAATCATTATGATGCACCATTTTCACATCAACTATATCTACATCTGTGAGTAATTGTTCCCAGGAAGGTCTGACATCAGTTTGGCTGTTGTTGCAGCCCAGCTCGTTGACTTTATTGCGCGACTTCTACTGAATACATGTGTATATGATGACTGTGTTTCGTGCATTCTTTAAAACGCAGTTAAGCAGATTTAGCTTGGAAGTGACATGTGATATTCATATGAAAAGTAATTCTGAAGCTTAGAATTAGACATTTCACATGTAGCTATTTTGACAATCAATTATTCATTCAATCGTTTATTAAGCAAAAATGACAAAAGCACATTTCCCATTTATTAGAACTGAGATTTTGCAGTTTTTCCTCTACTACAAATCAAAGTTTCGATTTTGACCTAGAATATGAAGCTGTCTCTAACAGATAGCGGGAAACATTTTTCAATGACTTCTTTCATTTCTCAAATATAATCTGTTCAAAATAATTATAATGAGAATATTTGTAACCCACATGAAGATAAAGGTTACTTAGAAAGCATTTCAGGGTGTGAGTGGAGCTGTTGTTTTTACTGTCCCTTCTGAGTGTGTCACTGGTTCTGCACAGCCTCTTTGAAAGTGAGCAGCATAAACACATGCATATAAAAACTGGTCCACCGACACATGTAAAGGTGATTTAGTAGACACTCGAGGTTGTTATGAGGGTGAGCGCAAGTGAATGTGTGCGCACACGTGTGGGAACTTCCCACTCCCCCACCGCTGCCGCCCACCCCCACCCCGTGTGATCCCCGAAGTTGAGGTTTTTCCTGATTGAAGGGGATCTGCTTTCTCCATTTCAGTGTGACCACTCGAGATCACACAGGATGTCTCTATGAATCTTTGCGTGAAGGTAAGCAACAGCTAGACCTGCATGAAACCAAGATTGATTGATGCTCGTGCTACAGGAGCGAGGAAACTGTCAAACATGCAAGCATGCGTGCATGCACGTGAATGGAGACCTTACACACAAGCGCAGTATAATTGTGTAAAACGCAGTTTGGGTTTCAAAGATCGATGTATATTTGGCACAAATGATGGAGTGTGCATGTGTGTGTGTGCATGTATGTCGGTTCCTCTGACGGGTTATGGAGGAGAGCGCCTTAATGTGCCTGGGGTACACTTATGAGTCATGGCAACAGTGATGTCATGGAAGCACAACCTCTACTTGCCCTCCCTGTGTGTGAGAAAAAAAGGGCAAGAGCAAAAGAGAGACTGTGTGTGTGCGTCTCAGTATTAGGTCACAGGAGATTGCTGATGGGCAGTGGGGGGGAAGTTTAAGCTACTGTTTGTACATGTGTGTGTTGGGGCTGGCAGCACGGATAGAGTTCAACAGATGCACTGCTAGACACATTAGCTCATTAGTGCTCTTTTCTCTTCTTTTTTTATACATACACTTATCTTTCCATTCTTCCATTGGGACAAAACCGAACTTTTTCTCTTTTATGGAATTACAGCACAGCTCCAGACATGAAGAGCTCCATCAAACAGGCTGACCCAGCTTATCGGATCAGCCGTTGAGTGAAAAAAAGACAGGAGTATGGCCTGCTCAGTGATTTTGCCCCACATTTACAGTACTGGTCTCATGTAACCAAGAGCATAAAGTTAAGAGGTGGTCTCAACAAATTCAACTTCTGACATAAGAAGAGAACTTATTTAATATTTCAGAAGACGTGTAATAACGTTTGAAAAACACTACTTCTTTACCTCACCACTGAGTGTTATGACTGGCGGTCGTTGGCGACTCCATCTGGTTAAGTGTTTAATACCGAGATGAACCAGGAGATGATGCTGACAGCTGAAATCTGAAACTGAACCTCTACTCGGTGTTACTCCACACCCTCCTGTGTCCTTACTGTTCCTCTCTCTTCTGTTTTTGGCGCTGCCCACGCACCATAACTTCCTATTCTCGTCTGACCTCACATCCCGTCTGTGTCTGACCGACTGTGTTTGATTACCGAGAACAGCCAGACGGAGCACAACGGACAGCAGGAAGAAGAGGAATAAGGGAAAATGATGGGGGGGAGGGGACCAGGCGACGGGCAGATTTTATAGGAAGAAAGAGAGACACTAAAAGACACAGTGCAAAAAGAGGGGAAAGGATGGGAAAGATGAGTCTGGGTAAGAGATTAGGTATAAAAACACAAGGAAATTGAGAGACAAAGAGCAAGCCAGGGATCAACGGAGAGGAGGACAAAGGGGGGATGAAAGTGGAAAGAGGGAAAAAGGATTAGGATGATGTCAGGAAAGGATTACAGAAACTTTACTGACATCATCAGTAGGTGCAGAGCAGATGCACACCATTGATCTCAACAGCCGGATAAATAAAGTAATGACTCACTTACAAATCCAGGTTGGCTTTTCCTAAAAGTTACAAAAATACAACAGAAGTATATAGTGTATGTACATATTTTTATTTTGTTATAACAGCGCTCTGTAGTGGTATGAGACATTCTACAGAAGCAATGATAATGTAGGTATGTTATTAAAATAACTAACTGTGATCATCGTTTGGATTTCTTTTGTTTGTTTGTTTGTTTTTGGTCCAATCTGAATATTTTTCCCCTTTATTAATAAGAATAGTAAAAAAAACAAAGAAATAGTTGAATCATTAATAGCATCATTTTTGCCTGTGAAGCAGACAAAAGGCATTGACAGTTTCTTCCAGATGCTAGCAATATGCCTCCTAGGGAGATTAATAACCACTCGCATACCTTCTTCTCATGGTGCAACATGCCTTTCTGGCACAACAGCAACTGCAAACTACTAGGACCGATGGAGACCTGGAGTAAATTGATGTAATAAACAGGAAACTATTTTAGCTTAAAACTTCCGTTAAGTCATAAACGTAGGAGAGAAGACAGTCATGCTAAGAAAGTGACCACCAGAATTCCCACCTGGTGGTAATGGCCTTGGTTAGTCTCATCATTTTATTCTGACTAACAAAACCTCAGATTAGTCTAAGCACTTCCCACTATATAATTTGAAGCTTCATGACTGGATGTTTCTTTCTTAAATATAATGAAGTCGACTTAAAAGCAAAGAGTAAGCTTGACTCTCTTCATTCCTGTCTTTGCGCTGTAAATTGTACCGCTTTCTCCCTCCCTGTTTACAGCATTTTCCTAAATGTTTAAATGTTACACATCCAGAGACTTCAAAATTAGTTATGTCACTTGCAAAGAGCGTTTCAGTAAAATGTGAGTCACTTTGACATTCAGGAGACTGCATTCCTCCTGCATGACGGCCTATGGCTCGTAGACACAGTCTGTCTGCACTGGGATAGAAAAAGACCTTTAAGGCCTGGAGAAAAAAAATGTGAAAAATGTGGCAACGGCCGCTCACTCAGCCCCCGCTCCACACACGTACTGGGCCACAGGGTGCGTGTGGTGTGTCGCTCAAAAGGAACAAAGTGAGCTATGATACCCATCTTTAGAAGCCTCTAATCAGAGAGAACAAAGCAAAGTGATGGACGCTCAATCTGTAGCAGGGAGAGGTGTGGAGATCAGAGAAAGACCAGAAGGGAAGGAGTGGGTTCAGAAGTGAGAGCGGAGAGGAAAGAGGCAAATAGAGGTAGAGAGGGGCATAGACCTCAGATTCCACACTATTATCATCTACTGCATAGCAAGCATTCCATCTGTTTAACAGCTGGGCTACACACACTAGCACACACACACACACACACACACACACACACACACACACACACACACACAAAGTGAAGAAGTTGTTGGGACATGCCTGAATTTGTGGTTGTCATGGTGAAGGTTTGGTTCTCATGGCCAGAGCCCTTATGGTTTATAAAAGGGATTAGAAAAGGACAGACGGACAGAGGGACTGGTCCAGAGTAACGTGGAAAAGTTGGAGAGTAAAAAAGAAAAAGGCAGCAAATAAGGTGAGTGGAAAGGAAAGAAGCAAGAAGTATATTCAAGAATCAAATATCAAAACACAGATGAAGTGACACTTGCAAATAAGAATCTTGATTATGACTCACTTTCTCTAGTAACCTGCTTAATGGACTTCACAAAAATAAGAATAGGGTAAGGGGTCATCCTGGGGAAGAATTTGGTTACTACTGCTGGATGTCTGCATATGCAACCTAATCTCTTGGTCATTAATAACCGTTTAGAAAGAGTGCATGTAAATGATAAAGACTATGCAAAATGAAGGGTAA